GCCATTCAAATAGACATAAGTAGTTATATCTCAATCATCAACTACTGCTCCACTTCCATAGCATGGATCATTACCCTGGTCTTTGGGATTATTATTTATCATTTGAGTAATGCACCGTAATGGAAAACACTTAATGCTGGCTCATCTCTGGATCTGGAATATTAATTAATGGGCCTTGATTGAGTTGTTGATTGAATTCTGCCTGTATGTATCACATAGAGGCCTCAAAAGAGATCCCACAATACCAGCCTGGCAGCCCAGTGCTGGAGCAGAATTTCACTCTTCAACCATCTGAGGACTTTAACTGGATTCATTATTTCCATAACTGAATGTGACATTGACCAGGATAAGTGGTTAGAAGATAGATGGATGATTTATGGATTTTTGGATGCAGCGTGTGGGGCAGCATGGAGGTTTTTGTGGGGCGTGATGTCGTGGCACAACTCCAGCGTTAGGGGTGTGAATCCTGCCTCCACTCTGATCGTGTGGGCTTTCTCCCAAAGACATCACGTTAGGTTAACTGGTGTCTCTAAATCGCCCGCTGTGTGTGTATGTACCCTGAAACCCTGGCATCCCATACAGGATGTGTCACTACCCTGTGTTGCCTGGAACAGACTCCGAGCCCCAGCCGCCATAGATGATTGGATGGATGCATAATATTGAAATCGCAGTAAAAAAACTGTCAGAAACTTGTCACTGCAGTGGAGCTGATTATGGATATTCTCTGTTTTGATAAGGTCATATTTTATAATTACTGTGTAATTTTTGCACTTAAAGTTTTATATTGTACAACATTTGCTTTTTGTGTAGTTGTTCAAGGAGACATACAAGATTCAATGACAATGTTTTTTGGATTACATGTACATTTAAAAGTGAATTTGTTAAGGTTTTTAGCAGAGGGGATTATTTTGATTGAAAGATTTTTTTTTCTCCCACATTGACTTTTAGTGAATAGGTTATTAATGGATTATTAATAATTTTGTTAAGAATGATACCACAATATTCGTAACGTTTATAACTAGTGTTCTAATATGGTTAAATCTTTTTTGCAGTGATACGTCCAATAGTGATATTTACCAAATAAATGTCTACATCTAGTGGTCTAAATTAAAAATACATACATTTTGGTTCTGTCTTTTTTACATTTCAGTTTTCACTTTTACTTGTGTTTTTTTGTTATTACTTTACATATTAAAATACAGTTATCTTATAAGGTTAGAACGTAAGCAACAAACATACGGATCGCTTAAAATTGTAGTGTTTCTTTAATGAAATTACAGTTCTCATTTTCAACGAGGGATAGACGCCTTAATAGCACCAA